AAAAAGGGGAAACAGCACCCCCAACAGTGCCCAGTTGGGCCGGGTTTTTTTCCCCCCCCCCCCCCCCCCCCCCCGGCATAATCAGTTATCACGTTACAAGGGACAAGGCCTATCGAAAAAGGGTTGTAACTCTTCTAAGGGCCTTTGCAAAGCAGCATCGGACTTAAAATTTGATTGACTGATGCTATGGTGTCCCAAACAGGCCTAAATAAGGCCTACGTAGGACTATAATGTTTAAAAAAAAGACTCATTACAATCCCTTTGTACTGTTACAGTTAGTGTAGTGAATAATGACAAGGTCCCTTTGTAATTTATGCCTGTCGGCGGCAACCCTACATCAACTGGAAAACTAAAATGTCAGCTTAATTCCATATTGACATGGATTCTACAAGTGGAAATGGAACCGGATGGGCAAACTGGGGTCACAATGATCCTGATAGTGATTCCAGTGTAGAAGAAGATGGAACTGAAGACAGTTCAGACATTTTCCACAGTGCAAAGTCCAATATCAGTTCAACAAAATCTGCCTCTAAAGAAACTGTAAGCCTTAATCTAGAAATAATCTTATCCCATGACTTGTGCAAATTATTAGAACTCTTTGACAGGGTTACTTTCTACTGTTTATACTTTTAATGATGGGTTGCCCAGTCTTTAGCATATTGGATTGCAATCAATGGTGTTTGTAGAGGGCATACTCAAGAATTGTAAAGGGTTGGGGGGTGGGGGTGGGAAAGAGTCTCTGTTAAGAAACCATTTTACACTAACACCCCAGAGTTACAAGGTGAACATGCATCACCTCCATTCCCAGAGCTAACGAGATATGATTCAGATTTTCTGGGTTTTGGAAGAGTCTCTGTTAACAAACCATTTTACCCCAACACTCCAGAAGCAACAGCTTTAAACCTACCATCAAAAACTCCAGAGGTCACAGCATTGAAAATTTGAACCTGGAAAGGTCAAAGCTAGGCGCTAGCCTAATTTGCCGCCACCATCTCCCCTGGCCCAACTGATGTGGGTTTCAGTCTGATGCCACAAGATATTCTTCTTAAGGTTTAGTTTCAACTTCATTTGTTAAACTGCTTTTTTGACCTTCAAATTCAGGCCCATCTTTGACTCTGACTGTTGGACATTTTTGTTCCTGTGAAATTTTTCAGGTTGGATCTGAGTATGAAACTTTGTGGCGAAACCTTGAAAAGACCAAAATTAGCGACTCCAATGATGATGATAAAAGGACAGGGCCGCCATGGGAACTATTTGAACGTTCAGACATCTTGACAAATATTCAACACAGAGCATCTAGTCAGCTTCCACTATGGACAGATACAGCAACAGCTGTAAACTTACCATCAAAAACTCCTGAAGTCAATAAAATATTTGCCAAACCCGTTGAATCAACAGAATTTGATACCATGGACATGGAAAAAACAATTGGAATAGGGCCTAAAAATAGGGAAGGAACAGCTTATAGAGCCAAAATTCAAGAGTCAATAGCACCAGATACACTAGAGTCTTCATTTGATTTTAGTTTGAGACAGAGCAGACCTTCACGACCTTCTTCCAAACCAAGTTCACCAAGGGAGATAATTGCAAACAGGTTTAAAGAGCAATTTGGGGATTTGAACACAACAGTTCCTGAAGTTGCAGCATGTGATTTAATACTAGATCCTAGAAACACCCAGTGGATCACTAAAGATGAAGAGAATATTGACGAACAAGTGAAAGGTGTGAAAGTACCCACAGGAGGTGAAGATGATCTTACTGACTCTTTAAGCATCCCAAGTCTTGGCTCCAGTGGAAAAGGTCAAGCCAGATATCTTGAAGCAACTAAATCCAAAAACCGTGAAAGAATTACTAGTGTCGTCAATCCAACATTTTTAACTCAGAATTCAAAGACCGAGTCAAGAGGTCACCAGTGTTCAAATAAGCAGCAGTTGTCAAATGCAGAATTCAAGTCCATTAATGGTCTTCATAAGAATGCAGACACCGGTGCTTTTTCATTAGACTCTTGGGAAAGCTCTGTCACAGATCCTCCTGGTGCTGGTCCTCAGAAAAAATCAGGAGGTTCGAAGGTAATAAGGTCATCAGACTCTTGGGAAAGCTCGGTCAAAGACACTTCTGGTGCTGCTGTGCAAAAGAAATCTGGAAGTTCCAAATGTATGCGTGAAGTACCTTTTTCAAAAGACTTTGGGGAAAGCCCAGTAAGACATTCGTATGGCAGCCTTCAAACGAAATCTGGAAATTCCAACAGTGCTTCAGAAGTAACTAAATCCTTAGACATTTCTGTTCCTAACCACAACAGAAACAATTTAAAAACTGTGCCTAGAGAACAACTGGGTTCACATAAAATCAGCTCTGAGCATCAAGAAATCTTAGATTTGGTCTCAAGTCAGGAGTTACAAGGTATTTCAGACAGATCCATCCAATTTGACTTACAAAATCATCCAGCATTGAGTTCCCTTACTGGGGATGTTCCTACAAGACTTTCTGTATACAAAGATGGTGATGGTTACTCTAGCAGTGTCCGTGAAGCTTTGGAAATGTCAAAGATCCCAAATGCCAAAACCGAGCAGCTCCAACAAGAGGACAGAGTGGAAATATATTCAATACATTCAGATAATTCATACGCCAGATCAATTGACAGTCGTAGCTCTGGTAAGTTTTACAGTCTCTAACAAATTCAACTTGATCTCTCAAAGTTATTAGAGTATTTGTCTATGAACCTTTGATGCATTAAAAGTATTGTAAATGAGGTTTTCTAAACTTTTTATGTGTGTTGGCTAGGGATGATGATAACGTCGATTTGTACCACACAAATTTTTAGACCGACATCTTTGGTTTTCTCATTTCCACTTAAAGGAACCAGTTCGCTATATTTTTGACCAAACATACCTTAGTTTCCGAATATTTTTACTAAGCCAATCAGTAATAGTGTTCACTGCTCACTGTCTAAATTTGAGCCTTCAAATCCATGTGTGTCCAGAATTATCGTCTCTTTTTTGAGTTTGAGATATTTTCGAAGGAATTGTGCGACTTTCGTACATTTCTAGTACATGTACTTCTGAAGACTATTTGCATATATTCAAGACTCAAATCGACCCCCCAAAACGGCGCATCTGTCCCTTTAAAGTAAGCCTTCTACGATGTCACCATTGCAAAGGCTCTAAGATGGACTTTTGCGAAGGTAGCATCATTAGTGGAATTGCAAGACTTTGGACTGAAAATTAGACTGGAGCAAATCGATGTTATTGGTGTCCAATAACTGGGAGAACCATGTGTCAGATTGTAAATTTGGAACGTGATATGGATAGCAAAATTGAGCTCCGTCAGATATTTTCCTTTAATTTTTGATTAATTTTAGATGCTGTGAATTGCGTGGTGCCATATGATAATGGGATTATGGCGATTCCGAAATCCCAGCAAACCAATGTTAATATCCAAAAAGTTACGAATTTTACTCATCAACAGTTAATAACAGATGATGGAACAGAGCTTTTATTAAGTAAGTTGGAAACGATTACTGGTCTGCAATGGAACACAGCTTTTACTAGGTAGGTGGGAAACCATTACTGGTGTGCAATGGAATAGAGCTTTTACTAGGTAGGTGGGAAACCATTACTGGTCTGCAATGGAATATAGCTTTTTCTAGGTAAGCGGGGAAACCATTACTGGTCTGCAATGGAATAGAGCTTTTTCTAGGTAAGCGGGGAAACCATTACTGGTCTACAATGGAACAGAGCTTTTACTAGTAAGCGGGGAAACCATTACTGGTCTACAATGGAACAGAGCTTTTACCAGGTAAGTGGGAAACGATTACTGGTCTGCAATGGAACAGAGCTTTTACTAGGTAAGTGGGAAACCATTACTGGTCTGCAAGGGAACAGAGCTTTTACTAGGTAGGTGGGAAACCATTACTGGTCTGCAATGGAATAGAGCTTTTACTAGGTAAGCGGGGAAACCATTACTGGTCTACAATGGAACAGAGCTTTTACTAGGTAAGCGGGGAAACGATTACTGGTCTGCAATGGAACAGAGCTTTTACCAGGTAAATGGGAAACGATTACTGGTCTGCAATGGAACAGAGCTTTTACTAGGTAAGCGAGAAAACCATTACTGGTCTGCAATGGAATAGAGCTTTTACTAGGTAAGCGGGGAAACCATTACTGGTCTACAATGGAACAGAGCTTTTACTAGGTAAGCGGGGAAACCATTACTGGTCTGCAATGTAACAGAGCTTTTACCAGGTTAATGGGAAACGATTACTGGTCTGCAAGGGAACAGAGCTTTTACTAGGTAAGCGGGGAAACCATTACTGGTCTGCAAGGGAACAGCTTTTACTAGGTAAGCGAGGAAACCATTACTGGTCTGCTAGACAATTAGGTGCCATCACTGAAGAGTACATTTACATGTAAGGACATATACATTATTAGGGTTGGGTATCGATTACAAAATTAGAATAGATTATCGATGGCAGACTACCGATAATGGAAATAATTTAAATGAGAAACCCTGTAAATACAAAATTCTTAATTTCATGGGTTATTTTTTTGTCATAGAAGTATATTCTTGTTTAGATCGGTTATTGTAGCTTATTGTGGGTATGTCATGTGCGGAAGGGGTACCTATGTGGAAGATTCAATATTTGGGATTTTTTTTTTTTTAAGGACACACAGAAGATGTAATGGAGGATGTAAAGAGTTATTTTGATATTTCTGAAACCAAAGCCTGGCAGAGTGTTCTAAACACAGACAAAATAGCGTTTGTGGTTGGTTTTTCGGAATATTTTAAGAAATCGATTATTTTAAAATTTTACGAGAAATACAGGTCTCGGGTTGATGTATTTAGATTGAATGGTCCTGAAGATTGGAAGATTTGTTACAAGAGATCAGAGCCTTTTGCAATTTTCATAGAAGATGCTTTTGGACCTCTTGGTACCGAGTTTAATAGTATTTCTCACTTAATCAAAGATCTATCAACTTTAAGAAATTTAGAGGCAGCACTTTTTACGATGAATCGTCTTTCATTCGAGCAAACCAAACAAAGTCTTAAAAAGTGCATGAAACGTGAATTATCTGATTACGTTGTCCATTTGGAAAAAGAAGATATATTGAGTGAAGATGATAAACGTGTAATTCTGAAAAAGTCTTTCGAACTTGTGAAAGTTGATGGTCGCTCTTTGAAAAAAACGAACAATGACGGAACAATTTGTTTTGAAAATTTTATTGATGACATATTGGGTATGGCAGAAAATCCTATATTTTTAGATACTTGTGAAGAATTTGTTATTTACAGCAGACACGATGAGAATGTGCTTCAATTTTTTTCCTTGCCATTGGATTGCTTGGTCGATGATTTTAAGTATTTGAAAGAAAAATGGCCAGATGGATATAATATGTTACGTTTAGTGGCATTCCACGAGCTTACCAAATATTTATCAAAAAACATTGATGGAAATTTATTACAGATTTTAGATCAATTAGTAGGTTCGTACCTAAAAATCCAAAACAAAGTATCTGCTTTAAAATTTGCCTTCCAACATCGCATGATGCAATATGCCGTTTTATGTACAGAAACTGATAAGGCGTTCTTGATCAACCATTGTCCCATTGGCTTTTTGGTCGATGTCGTAGCGAAAATGACTAATATGCGTAAAACTTCGTTTGAAAATGAAAATTGTAGCATTGTTAAACGTTTCATTCAAGAAATTGTGAAAGGAAAGCATGTGGCTACTGTTGTCATCCATGAAATATGGGATTCAAAAGAATTTATGGAGGATTTCAAACAGAAACTGAAAACAGAAGTAAAAGAGTCCATTATTCATAATATGGGATCTTTCTGTGAATCAAACATTTTATATCTAGCTGTTTTCAACAAATCACCAAAATTGTTGGAGTGGATTTTGAAGACATGTAAAGAATTAAAATTTACCGTGTCAACATCATTGTTTAAAAAAGCAATATTTGCCACATGTGTCATAGGCCATTTTGAACATTTTAAACTTTTAATAAACAGAATTAAGAATGTTGATAGCTTTTGTCAATCAGAATTCAAGGACCACATTTTAACACCAAGCAGAAACATTGAAAATTCAGAAATTGTTTTTGTTGAAGAGAAATGTTATCCTTCTATCACACACACAGCTATAGCTTTTAGTCGACTGGATATTCTTAACTATCTTAAGAGCTGTGGGCAAAATGTGAATCACACAGATAGTCAAGGCTATACCAGTCTTCATGTAGCTTGTCGTTGTGGATCCGATATAGAAATTTTAGAATATTTAAAAGAAAGTAATGGCGATGCTGTTAATGTTAGAGATAAATCTGGCAACACTTGTTTACATGAAGCGTGTTGTCGCTATGACAACATTGAAATCGTGATTTCTTTGGTAAAAGATTTTCCAAAGATTGTTTTGAAAAGAAATATATCGAGCCAAACCCCATTACATACAGCAGTCGGGGCAGGTAACATTGAAATTGTGGAACTTCTTATCGAATTTTCTAACAAGTTTCAAGAAAATTGTCTTTTTGATAAAGATTGGTCTGGATGTACTGTTTTGCATTTGGCATGTAAAGTTCAAGACAATTTGCACATGGTGAAATTTTTATTAGAAAGGCAGCCATCTTTGATTACTATTAAAGATCAGCATAGTAACACTGCACTCCATGTTGCTTGTCAAACACCAGGCAATACTGAAGTTGTTGAATTTTTAGTATCAAAAGGCTTGGATATCAATATGGTCAATGCTTCTTCACGCACACCATTACACGAAGCATGCATGGCCGAAAATGTAAAAGTTGTTGGGTTATTATTACAAGAAGGGAAAATACAAATATTACAGGATAAAGGAAACAAATATCCCTTTCAACTTACTAAAAATAAATCAGTACGGGCTAAATTTGCCAAAATGGGCTTTTACTGATAAAGTTTTACCCAAATAAACGTTTTTTTTGTAAAGGGACTTTTGGACCAGAAAAAACTGTTACTCCAGAACGATCAAAGCAGCTAGGAAAGGACCTAATAATTTTTTTTTAATAAGCTTGTTTGTATTTGTTGAATTTTATGCTATTAAATGCTTTTTTTTTTTTTAATTTGTTAATTTTAAATTCCATAAAAGTTTTCAATGATTTGTATTAAATTTTGTTTCTTATTATTGTTTTCTTTGATTTGTATTTGTTGCTTTTATGCTGTCAATATATTATTCATTTTGAAGTGTTTTGTTGAGAAAGACAAGTATCTGAAAGGATCATGTAGCCTTAAATAGGTCATGGGCCAAAAAATCCTGATTTTCATTATGAATTAGAGAAACGACCACAACTTTTCAAATAACAGAGATTCGAACTCTGGGTTCTCACTCACCTGGTTTTTTGGACTCGGTGCTTCCCTAGGAGTTCCCCAATGCCCATAAAACTTGATTCTGAGAACTTTTTTATTTTGCGAAAAAGTGCCAAAAAAATCCGGATTTTCATGAGGAAAACGGAATGGCCCAGAACTCTCTTGGTAGAGCAGCTATGGAATCGCGGTTTGTGGCATTGCAAAGCTAACATTTGAAAATATTTTGTGGCAAAATTTCAGCTTCCTACCTCAACTGGTTTGGCCGTGGTGAAGCATCAAAATTTGAATTTTGAAAAAAGGCAAAATTGGTCAATTTCAACAGGTAGCTACCTGTGGTACCAAAATCCATTTTTGGGTCGAATTTTTTGGGTCTTGGAAATCGATGTAACCTGGTTTTTTGGACTCGGTGCTTCCCTAGGAGTCCCCCAATGCCCATAAAACTTGATTCTGAGAACTTTTTTATTTTACGAAAAAGTGCCAAAAAATCCGGATTTTCATGAGGAAAACGGAATCGCCCAGAACTTTCTTGGTAGAGCAGCTATGGAATCGCGGTTTGTGGCATTGCAAATCTAACATTTGAAAGTATTTTGTGGCAAAATTTCAGCTTCCTATCTCAAGTGGTTTGGCCGTGGTGAAGCTGCAAAATTTGGATTTTCAAAAAAGGCAAAATTGGTCAATTTCAACAGGTAGCTACCTGTGGTACCAAAATCCATTTTTGGGTCGAATTTTTTTGGTCTCGGAAATCGATGTAACCCGGTTTTTTGGACTCGGTGCTTCTCTAGCTCTCCCCCAATGTGCATAAAAGTGAATTCTGAGCACTTTTTTTTTTTGCGGAAAAGTGCCAAAAAATCCGGTTTTTCATGGACAAAACTAAAACGCTCAGTGCTTCCAAAGTAAGGCAGATATGGAATCGCGGTTGGTGGCATTGCAAAGCTAAGATTTCAAACTAATACCTGTCAAAATTTCATCTTCCTATCTCAAGTGGTTTGGCCGTGGTGAAGCTGCAAAATTTGGATTTTCAAAAAAGG